GTGGAAGTTTGGGTCTGGTTGGTACATACCTGTGTGGTTTAGCTGATTCAGAGACATCGAGGACCTTGCTTGAAGTAGTGCCAGCCTGAGTCGTGGTACTCAAGAAAGAAGCTATTGTGATGATCAACTCGAGGATTGTAGCCTGAGGCTGAGTAGTCAGTCGATGGCAATAGATGTTACTTTCTGGATCGGGGTTGTGTTTTCCTGCCTCTTGTGCCTAAGGGTGGAGAGATCGGTTGGGGTCATTCGATGGTTAATGTAGGAGATGGTGATCTCCTCATCGATTATGCTGAAGGAAGGTGAATTTTGGTTCAGAGTAAATCGTTTTCGTGTCGCAGCGAAGGGATATTTGAGACTAGATGGTTCTTGTGGTTCGATGGCCAAGGTGAAGGCCATGTTGTAGGTAGAATACATAACGTGGATTCTTGCAGATCAGGTGCATCTGGGATATATCGAGTGGATCATGTTCTGGGCAGAAGGGCTATGTGGAGGTGTTAAGTTTGTCCAAGCTTTCTTTTGAGCATCTATAGGGGATTCTTGAAGTTTCATGGGTGATGAGGTTGTGGATCAACTCCCCAAGTGTAAGGTTTTATGTGCGTAAGTTCATTTTGGAAGGTGCTAAGTCTATCCAATGGTGTTCTGACCAATTTTGTAATGTTTCATGTGTGATGATGGAAGGAAAGGTCTCTGAAGTCTCCATATGAGATTCAGAGATTTCTTCTTCTTAGGATCATCTTGTGTTGTGATATGCATCCTAAGAGTCAAGTCAGGTATGTCCATGGATACAGAGAAGATAAGGTTTGGTCAGATTGTGGGTGCAGAGTAATTTGTCGTTAAGCATGTGTACTGTCCTCGCAGTAGGAAACTGGTGAGTAAGGTATTTTTTTATGATCAGTAGTTCCTTTGTGGTAGCCCCATGGACCTGAATGGAGGAGCTTAAACCACTCTAATTGTGTACTGGGTATGGGAAGCAAGGTTATCCCATGATATGGGTTTGTTATTTTTGGTTAAGTTGGGAAATGGTTGATCGGTCTCAGGGTTCGTTGCGGTTATTCGAAGGTTTCAAGTGGTATCAGTTGAGGGTGCATTTGATGTGTCAACCCTCAGATTAAATTCAATAAAGTTTGTATCTCGACCTCTTTGTAGGTGTTTTGTCGACTTCTTGGTTATATAATTGTGGTCCCTAGTGGGATTGATATGGAAGATGGCCTTACTTATTGGAAGATCGGATATCGAAGCAACGTCGTTCAACTTTTCAGGTATCATCGTGGTTACGTAAAGTCAGTTTGGCACGTCGCATCGGCTGGGTTGGTTTTATTGGATTGATTCGGATAGGATTTTGGCAGCATTTCTGGATACTTTTGGAGTTCTTCTTTGAGATTGGAATTTTTATTGGTCTTTTTCTCATTGATACGGTCTTTTTAGATTTTTCAAGGTGTGGGATCTTGTTGTAGTTGTTAGAAGAAGGTGTCTAATAGCATTTGAGGTTCGTCACATCGTCCTATTCATTGGTACGTCACCTTTTGGGTATGGTTACGATTAAGAAGGAACACAGTCGGATGGGAAGCATTATGTTTCCTCCTGGAGGGTGTGTAAAGTTGTGCTTCCAACTTGGAACAAGAGTTTAATTGTCTATATAGTGTTGCTTGTGTGTGGTCATGTTTCGTTTGGCGATGCGTCATTGGCAGTGGATTGTAGAAGAGAGTGTTTTAGAATGGTATGACTCATGTATTTTCTGGAAAGTGTTGAGTGAGATGTTGATTGGGTTCCTACCGATCAGTGGAATGATGGAAGTGTGTCATTAGGCCCGTTGTATGTTGGTCAGGACTCGTCATGCTTGTGGTCGGATGATGGAAAGAATGGTGAGGATCCTTGAGATTCTCATCCCAATGGTTGGATGGTGTTACGACGTGATGTGAACCGTCGTGGATTTCAATTTTAAGAGTGGGGTCGGCAGTTGGGTAGTGGAGACTCATGTGTTGGTTTGTTAGTTGTGTGGCATAGACGGGTGTTTGTGCAGTATAGTGTTGTCATTGGTGGCTCAGTGACCGGCAGGTTGATTCGGGCAGTTGTAGGGTGTTGACTGGCTTGAAAGGTCATGGTGGTATATTAGCAGCTTATTATTGGGATTCTTATTAGTGGACCCGTGTTCATTTGATGATGAGGTTTCATGTGATATCTCTCCCTATATTGCCTATATCATAGTGGTGTGCATACTAGACTAGCTGAGTCTTAGTAGCTGATGGATGCCATGACTATTTTAGGACTGTTGATAGTCCTTAGGTCGTTGATGAACCATCGTTGTTTGGATTAATATAGGGGTAGGGGTATGCCGGTTAGAATGCTAGGAGATTAGTGATGCGTGTGGTTATAAGTCTCTTGGATGTTTTGGCAGATGGTTCTGCACCTGAGCTGTTGTGGGAGTTTGAGTATCACGCGGGATTTTGTATTGATCATGGTTACGCTCGTGGTAACAGTTGGTTAGTCACGACTGGTCAGGAAGTCAAGTGTGTATTTGATAACTTTTAGGCGATTTCCGAATTTAGGATGGGTTGGAATTCTTGACCAAAATGTTTTCAATGTTGTTATGTAGTTTAGTGGTGTTCCTGATCAGGGACTTAGGGTAAGAATAATGAGTGGATGATCATCAGCCATTATGTATGTCTCTAGAGTTAGACTGTTGGGCTCTTAATTTTGTGTAGTATAGTGATGGAGATGGTTAGTAGATACAGTTATGGAATTTCCCGTTAAAGTGGCTTCGCTATGAGTTAGGTCTTAGCATTTGGAGAAATAGGTAGTTATTGTATTTGAGTGTTCCAAATAACTGAGTGGTTTGTTGGCATCATTTGGGTTATGGATGGCCTCTCGAGTTCGATATAGATGTATTGATTATATGAAGTGGTTAGAGGTAGCATATGGATTGGGTTAGTACAGTTAAAATTCTAACCAAGTCATATTTGGAGGGGGAAATCCAGTTTAAGTGGGGGAGAATTAGAACACCTGGTTTTCAGATGTTTCTATTATCGGGATAGCAAGTCGTAAATGGATCGAGTAAAGGTCTTGGGCTTCAATGGAATAGATTTTAGACCCTATCGAATGTTGATAATGTTGGGTTAAGGGATTATAGCCATCGAATTGTGCTTCGAAGCAAAAGAGTACAGGGGGAAAAGTAATATTCAGGCTTATAAGTTGCTAGATCTATTTTCTAATCTTGTTTTTAGTCCATTAAATGAAGATTGTGGATGTGATAAAGTTTGCAACTTTATCAGTCGACCTTGTCACAAGAGTATTTTGATTTATGGATATGATCTTTCATGATCTTTTGGGCACCATGCTTAAATTTAGGACTTTATTTTGCTCATTTTGACCTAGAATGTATTTAAGACATGCATGTCTAAAAAGTAATGATTTTTATGGTGCTTTGGAATGAATAAAGCCTTCTAGAAAGTTGGAACTGATGACTTAATAGATTAAGGACTCAAACTATTAAGATTGTGCTTCAGACTGTGGTCACGTTGTGACTTGGAGAGTGTCACGATGTCACAATGAAGGATCTCACGATTTTCTTACCTTGTTGTGTTCATGATGTGGCCAAGGAGAGTTCACGTTGTGATGTGTTCTCATGGCGTGACCAAGGGTTGGTCATGACTTGAGGGTCAGCTGTTAGTATTGTTCGTTGTTGGATTTGACTTTGACCATTGACCTTTGGCGTGGGTTGACTTCTATTCAAACTAGGGATTTGGACTTTAGACTGAGAGGATACTCTTTATTGGTGTTAGGTACCGTGTAGGATCAGTTTTTGTTGGGTGAGAGATTTGGTGGTTAGCTGCTACTTGCGAGGTGAGTCTTATCACTATACTTGCTTGTGTGGTAGTATATGCATGTCGCCCAACTGGGTCTAATTTGTTGATTTCTGTTATATATGAATTGAGTTGCTGATAACTCTTGGAATGATGTAAGTCCATTGGACTGCTGAAAGTCATTAAAGTTGATGATAACCTGTGAGGTGTGTTGTTAATCCACATGGTCTGTTGTTAGCCTTTTGGGACCGCTGATAGTCTCCAGAGTTTGTTGATAACCCTTAGTTGATTATTATGTTGTGTTGTATATGGTATTGTGGGGAACTCACTAAGCTTTGTGCTTACAGTTGTGGATTAAATATTTTGCACGTACTTATCAGATTGCAAAGGTGTGACTGTACACACACATCAGCAGCTTTATGATTCGAGATTTTGTATTGTCTTCATTATAACTATGATTTCCGAATAATGGTTTATGAAAAAATGGCCTATCTTGAATATAACTTTATTTAAAATCGATGTTATATTATTTTAAAAATTAAAATTTTTCCTGGGTTTTTGGGATGTTACAATTAGATATGGGAAACTTGAGATACATTTCAGTGGTTGGGGTAGGAATATCAAAGGCATGATTTCTATTAGTAGGATCCAATGCAGTTAAACGGGTAGTGAAAATAGTGACACCATCAGGGTTAGTCCTGCATTGTTCATCAATGAGAGATTGATTTATGAATGAGTGACTAACGAACCTAGACTTAAAATCTTCCTTGAGATCATGAGAAGAAGAAAAGTTTTGTTCAATTTCAATCTGTTTATAAATGTTGACAGCCTCAACAATATTTCCACCAAGAATTTTCTCACATTGATCAGGTATCTGGGCGTCTATTATTTTATTTAAATTATGGTGAGAGTGAGCTCAATTATTCACGATACCGTGAAACTTGTCAGTATACATTTCAGATTTATCCTTTTCAGAATGAAGATCAATATTGGTAAGAGATAGATTGGTGACTTTAGTGTTAGTTAAAGCAAGAGTATTTTCAATGTGGGGAAATTTTTTTATCAGTGTGTCAATCTCAGGACTAAGTGAGTGTTTCTCTTGGTTAACATTTGAAAGATGATGACACGGGTAATCAAACATAATACACTTTTCGTTATCAGATTAAGTGATGAACTTGTTTACCTGATATAAGGACAATCTCAGTCCTGTTTCTTTGAATCCTTAGTGACTTTGGCGAGATCAGCTTTAAAGGTAATAAATCCTATACTTTCTTTATCAGTGACTGGAACATCAGTGTAAGCCATCAAACACGTGTCTTTTCGTCCATCTTTGTCAGATGATTCTTCATCATCCACCCAGTTCTCAACTTTAGCAACCAAGATCTTCACATCAATATTCTTTCTCATTAAAGAGGCTAACAACTGCATGTATTTTCCCCTCATAATCTTCTTCTTGGATTTACATTCCCTGGCAAAATATAACATCCCAAAAATCATGATAAGAAAAATTCCTTTTAAATCATTAATAAAACCATAGTTATCCAAACATCAAATAAAAACCATAAGTCTTGTATCTCAAAATATCATAACATCTGTCAAAATATATCAGAGTATAAACATCCTAGACTAAACAAATGGTGTGTGCACTGCAATCATCCCGAGCTCTTCCCCTTGCTACCGGAAGTACCTGAAACAAAACTGAAAATTGTAAGCACGAAGCTTAGTCAGTCTCCCCAAACTACCACATACCATACACATAACATGCAACTAGGAGATACGGGCCCCGCCCACACTCGGTGAGATACGGGCCCCACCCATACTCAGCTACTATTAGATACGTGTTGGGTTTTGAGCATTCTAACACTCCTATGGTGTACATGCAACCCTAAATACCTTGGATCTATGTTTTCTCTATTATACATGCAAATATCAATTTCCAAGGTATTGTTCTAACTAGCATAATATAAAGTACACATAATATAAATTCTAGTAGAATTACATACCTCTTGTTTGGTGCTTGATTTCATGGAGCTCAAGAGCCTAGTGCCCCAAGTGTGACACCTCAAATGGTTCACACAACATCATAAACTCTTGGAATAACTTGAGAGAAAGTACACACTTCATGAAATCGGTTTGCCCTCAACACATAGACTTAGTGGCCGATTTTGACAAGAATGATATGTTTATATAGTGTGACACTATTAGGGTAAACCCTAATTGTCATGGCTTTCCATTTCCTTGGATCCATGGGTTCAAATACACCATGGAGCATCCATGGAGCATCCTATGGGTTTTAGCCCAACTTGATAATCCATGGAGCATTAGCCCACTATATAAGTATGGATGATTTACACAATCAACCCATATATTTAATTAGTCTTCTTTTGATCACTTAATTAATTCTAGATTAATTTTTGATCAATACTAATTAAATAATCTTTATTAATATATTAGAACTTATAATATATTAATAAGCCTTAAGTGTTATTTCTCTCATTTTAGTCTATCCAAATGCATAATGCCATGCAACCCAAATGGACCATGCCGGGTCGGGTCAAGTATATACCAATTATAGTTATGGACTTAGACACTAATCCAACTATACGGGCCCCACCCATACTCAGCAACTATGAGATACGGGCCCCGCCCACACTCAGCTACAATGAGATATGGTCCCTGCCCACACTGAGCTACTATGAGATACGGGCCCCGCCCACACTCAGCTACTAGGAGATACGGGCCCCGCCCACACTCAGCTAGTCTTGAAAATACATACACGTATCACACAGACAACAAGTATAACTAAGCATATAAATCTATACCATATCATGCTATCTATGAGATAGGGGCCCCGCCCACACTCAACTACTAATCATATCACATATACGGGCCGACCTTGGTGTCGTAGACTCGTTCCTACTGAAGGAAATTCACCTCAATGTCGTGAATAGCTGAAAGTCCCTACTCCGCAACCGGCTCTACTCACACCCTATATAGAACAAACACTTAGATAACATTCCACACTCAAAACCCCTTCACGGGTCAACCTAAGTCAAAGTCAAAGTCAAAGTCAACATCATGGGTTGACTCAACTCGTCGAGTTGCTCCATCAACTCGTCGAGTTCCATGAATCATAAACCCTAAAATCGCGATCCAACTCATCGAGTTCTTTCACAACTCATCAAGTTCCTCCTATCTACAAAATCGGGACTTCTCCAGTCAACTCGTCGAGTTATCCTTGAACTCGTCGAGTTTTGCCTTTAATAGAATCGGGATACTTCGTCCCAACTCGTCGAGTTCCTCTATGGACTCGACGAGTTCTTCAGTCTGTTAAGCCATCTTAATAGCTTAAGCCCCTAATCTTTAGATCTGAGCTGCATACTTCACCTACACACTGAAAATGTCCTTTTAAGGGTAAAGTTTCCAACTTTAACCGTTAATACCCTTACTTAAAGGATTTAGCTCAAACCCTAATTCTTTAGAGCCTAGATCTTGGTCCACAAGCCATCAATACTCCAAACTAAGGCGTATACACTGAGATCTGGACCCTAGACACTACATGAACACGTAAAGCTTCCACCTTTCTCTTCATGCATGGCCTTTTGGAGCTTAAAAGGCCAAAATGACATCATATAGCTTGCATGGGGCTTCAACGGCCATAAAGTTTGCACCTTTATGCCATGAAAGCCCTCCATGATTCCATATCTGATGGTATACTCACTTTGGACGTCCATTTCCCAAGGAACATGCTTCTTGGACCAAAAACTCAATAAAATGATAATAAGGAAATCTAAGAAGTTACTAAGTAAGTTTGAGACTTGCTTACCAGAAAATGATGAGAATGAAATGGAGTCTCTGGATCTACTAGCTTCTTCTTGAATCCCCAAGCTTCTCCTTCCTTTACAAGCTTCAACACACACAAAACTTCACTCAAAAGTGTCTCACAAGCTCACAAATGCATTAAGGTTTTCTGGATCTAGGTTTTGGGACTTGGAGGCCGTAAATGAGGCTGGCATGAGGGGATTAAGATGCTTAAATAGGGTGCAAAACCCCAAAATTAGGGTTTCACTCTGACAGTCCTACTCGTCGAGTTGAGGCTTCCAACTCGTCGAGTAGACTTCAAAACCCACGTCTAAATCCATTCCCTAATCGACGAGTTTGGGGCCTCCAACTCATCGAGTTCCTACATAAAAAATGAATAAATTTATAATTTAAATACATATCAGGAACCCGGTGTTACAATTCTCCCCCACTTGTCTCAGACTTTGTCCTCGAAGTCTGCTGCCTCGAATAACGCTGGGTAGTGCTCCCTCATCTCTTCATCTGGCTCCCACGTCAACTCCAAGCCCATACAGTGCTGCCACTGCTCCTTCACTAACTGAACAACCTTGTTTCTCAAGGTTTTCGTCTTGCGATCCAGAATCTCCACTGGCCTCACAATGTAGTTCAGTATGTCATCCATATCCTCTAACGGAACAATTACGGAGTCATCCACTAAGCACTTCAGCAGCTGGGAAACATGAAAAGTGTTGTGGATATGGCTGAGCTCTGCTGGAAGATCCAATCGATACCTCACCTTGCCTACCCGGGCTATAACCCTGAAAGGACCGATGTACCTGGGGCCCAGCTTGCCCCGCTTCCTGAACCGGATGACACCTTTCCATGGTGACACCTTCAGGAGAACCATGTCGCCCACCTGAAACTCCAAGTCTGAACGGCGCTTGTCGGCATAGCTTTTCTGCCGACACTGAGCAGTCTGGAGCCTGCTCCGGACCTGTTGGATCCTCTCAGTAGTCTTCAGTACCACCTTGGTACTCCCCATGACCCTCTGTCCGACCACGCCCCAACTGATTGGGGTCCTACACTTCCTCTCGTAGAGCATCTCGAAGGGAGGTCGGTCTATGCTGGCGTGGTAACTGTTGTTATATGAAAATTCCGCTAGCGGAAGATACGTATCCCAACTACCACCGAAATCCAAAACACATGCGCGCAGCATGTCCTCGAGAGTCTATATAGTCCTCTCGCTCTGCCCATCCGTCTGAGGGTGGAAGGTGGTACTAAAGTGAAGACGAGTACCCATCTCGTCATGAAACGCTTCAAAAATCTGGAAGTAAAACGAACATCTCGGTCTGACACGACCGAAACCGGCACTCCATGACGTGCCACTACCTCACATACATAGATCTCGGCTAACTTCTCAGCCGATATATTCTCCTGGATCGGGATGAAATGAGCATTCTTGGTCAACCGATCCACGATGACCCATATCGAATCCACTCCACGTACGGTCCCGGGAAGCTTCGTGATGAAATCCATAGTGATATCTTCCCATTTCCACATGGGAATCTCCAACGGTTGCATCTTGTCGTGAGGTCGCTGATGTTCGTCCTTGACTTTCCTGCAAGTCAAGCACCGCTCCATATACCATGCGATGTCCCGCTTCATGCAGGGTCACCAATAATCAGGGTGAAGATCCCCATACATCTTCGTCGCCCTGGGATGGATGGAGAATCTCGACTTGTGAGCCTCATCCATCAGAACCTGGCATACCCTGCCATAGTAAGGAACCCAGACCCGCCAATGCGGGGTCAACAATCCACGGCTGTTGTAATCAAATAAGGCCACCTGGCCTATGATCCGCTCACACTTCCGGAGCTCTTCTTCATACCCTCGACCTGCGCCTCTCTGATCCGCTCCAGCAATGGAGTAACCACTGTCATCCTCAAACATATGTCTCGTATCGGTGTCACCACTGCCTTGAGGCTAAGAGCATCGGCCACCTCATTGGCCTTCCCTGGGTGATAAAGGATCTCACAATCGTTGCCTCATGTTCAGATTCGACTGATCCATGAGGCACCGCAAACTCTTGTGGTCCATGTAAATGGTACAACGAACCCCATAGAGGTAGTGTCGCCAAATCTTGAAGGCGAAAACTACAGCACCCAACTCCAAATCGTGTGTCGGGTAGTTCGCCTCATGAGGCTTTAGCTACCTCGAAGCATAAGCTATCACATGACCCCGCTGCATCAGTACCGCACCCATACCCATGATCGAAGCGTCACAGTAAACCACGAAATCATTGACGCCCTCCGGCAATGTCACAATTGGTGCCTCGCATAACCGCTGTCTGAGATTCTCGAAGGCTGCTTGCTGCTTAGGCCCCCAGCGGAATTTCACTTACTTCTTGGTCAGTTGGGTAAAGGGAACAACAATCTTGGAGAAATCCTAGATGAATCTCCGATAATAACCCGCTAGACCAAGAAAACTCTGAATCTCAGATGGAGACCTCGGAACCTCCCACTGCATCACGGCCTCTATCTTGGTCGGATCGACTAGAATACCCTTCTGGTTGACAAGGTGCCCCAGAAACTGCACCTCGCACAAACAGAACTCACACTTGGAGAACTTGCGAAAAGTCTCTCCCTCCTCAATGTCTCCAGCACCTCCCTCAGGTGCTCCTCATGTTGCTCCTGACTCTTGGACTAAACCAAGATATC